ACTAACAGTTTTTTGTAGATATTTAGGCCATGTCTACACTACACCTGGAAAGTTGGATTAGGGCATGCAACTCCAGCTATGTAAAATATTTAAAATACGTAGTTGGGGTCAGCTTACCTTAAGTCAAGCTTGGTGCCATCTTCACAGAAGGAGGCCAAAGGGTGCAAATGCTCCCATTGGCTTCCCTTTTTCCTTGTGATTGCAATGAGTACTGGTGCTCACCAGAGCTGCTCTCAGCATTCAATTTAGCAGGTCTTAACTAGACCCGCTAAATTGAATGCCACAAGATTGATCTCCAGCATGGCAAATGAAGATGTGGCCTTAGGTTTCAGGACTCACATACAAGTGGTATAATTCTATCAATCTCAGTATCAGGTTCCTATGTTTGCCTGGAAGAAAGAAAGGCAGATTTTTATATCCACCATCATGAAACTTTCTCTGAGACGGTTTTGTTATGTTAGTATCCAAGTCCTGCTATTTGGCACAGCAAGTTATTATTGTACAGTTACTGATTTTCTGACTCATCCCTTTGCAGATCAGTTCAGCTTCTTCAGATTCATTACAAGCCTCAAGGAGCTGAGCAGAAAAAACAGGATGGCTCACCTTCACATGTGAGATAGCAAAGCTTAGTCATGTAGCTTAAAATAAAATAAGCAAAGGGCAGATGGCAAAAAGGACAAAATGTGGTTTATGTGATCGGCCTGTGTTTACAAGGAAGTAATTGTCTTCCTCCAGGCTCTAGAAAACAGAGTGCTGCCAGAAGACAAATAATGAAGTTTCTCTTTCCAAGGCACATGTGACACTGTTTGTATAGTTTCAACAGAAGCCTGCAGTTAATTCAGGGCATTCAATAAAATTTATATTCACCATATGTAGAAGATAAAACACCTTGGATTTGGGAAGCTGAACTGACCTGCTTCCCTCCTCCTTGGATCAATTCACCAAGAGAGACTCTAATCCTCCGCTGATCCCATACAGTAAAAATGCCTTTAACAAAACAGCCTTCCCAACATAAAACTATTACATCAGGAAACAAAGCATTAAGTGGTACAATACCTTAATGCGGCAGTCAGTGTGGGATAATGTCTCTGTATATTTAAGTGGTGCTTTCAGGCATGATGTCTATAGGCTTGACAATTTCCATCATATTTAACAACATAAAGCATATAGCAAATACATCAATTACATATACAGAATTGTTACCTAGTGTCAGGATAACTTATCTGCCTTGTATTTTGTACTTACTACCCATGAACCACCATCTCAAAAAGGTTGGATATAGGGTCAGCAGCTGATCAGACATTTAACCTTAAAATATTTTGACTTGAACTTTTTATTCAGCTATTTTTAATTGTAAAGTGTTTGCAAGAGTATTGAAGTAAGATGAAGGAATCCCCACCTTGTTTCAAGCAAATGCTGTTCACTTATAGGCTACGTCTAGACTGGCATGATTTTCCAGAAATGTTTTTAACGGAAAAGTTTTCCGTTAAAAGCATTTGTAGAAAAGAGCATCTAGATTGGCACGGACGCTTTTCCACAAAAGCACTTTTTGTGGAAAAGCATCTGTGGCCAATCTAGACGCGCTTTTACGAAAAAAAGCCCCGATCGCCATTTTTGCGATCTGGGATTTTTTGCACAAAACAAATCTCAGCTGTCTACACTGGCCCTTTTGTGCAAAAGGGACTTTTGCCCGAATGGGAGCAGCATAGTATTTCCGCAAAAAGCACTGATTTCTTACAGTAGGAAGTCAGTGCTTTTGCGGAAATTCAAGCGGCCAGTGTAGACAGCTGGCAAGTTTTTCCGGAAAAGCGGCTGATTTTCCAGAAAAACTGGCCAGTCTATACGCAGCCATAGAGTTCAAAAATTGTCATTGACTGAAGCCAGACTCAGCTGGAAGGGAAGGGGTAGCTTACATAAAAATAAATAATTGTATAACATATTTAGCCAAAGGTGCCAAATGCTTTTAAAAAGCATCTTATTTTTTGTGTGTCTTTGCATGTGTAGCCATGTGACAGGGTCAACCAACCCTACACTGGGCTGCCAGGGGAAAGAGATAAACAATCATTGTGGGGCCAGGAGGCCACACCCCTTCTTTCTTGCTGCACATGTTTCATGTGGAGAATCGAGATAAAAAGAGGCAACCCAGCTCAGTTGTGGTGAATGATGGAGGAGAAAGGATGTATCATGCTGGGTCCAGCCAGGGAGCAGAGACTGACTGATATTTTGCTCTATCTAAAGGGCTAATTACCCCAATGTAATTGCCTATTCCAGCCCAGAGGCTGCAGGGCCATTGACTGTTTGCTTTGCCCTGCCCAAGGACTGAAGCCAGCTTACTGCTATGCCCCTGCCAGGGGTCTGATTCCCCACTATAACTGCCTGCCCCAGGCTGGGGGCTGCAGGGCCATATGATTGATATTTGCTTTGCCCCACCTCGGAGGCTACAGAGCCATAGGCTATTTGTTCGCCTTGCCCTGCCCAAGGGCCGTAGGCTGACTGATATTTTGTCCTACCCAGGGAGCTAATTCTTCCAATGCAATAAGTTGTCCCAGCCCGGAGGCTGCGAGGCCATAGATTGATCTGTTGCCCCAGACAAAAGGCTTCAGAGCTATATACCGTTTGCTTACCTTGCTCTTCCCTGGGGCTGCAGTTTGATTGCTGTTAATAACTACTGCTGGCCCAACTAGGGGGCTGTGAAACCCCAGACTCTTGGACTCGTTTGTCATCCAGAGCCCAGAAACAATCTTTGACTGGTCTCATAGGGCACTCAACCTTCAAGGCTGCCATTATAAGCCATTTTAAAAATTGTGTATCTGCAAAGTACCAGAGCCATCCAAACATTTAAAGTCCTGTTGGCACTTGGAACTGAGTTGATTAACTCAAGTGGAACCTTCATCTACTTCTCCCTGCCTACAGAGAAGGTTGATGCAAAGCAACTATTATGAGACAGGCAATTGTAGCCTGGAAAATGAGTATCCCAAGGAATACTGTATATCACAAACATTAATTCATTTTCAATTAGATCTCCAGTATCTTCCACTAGTTGTT